CAGCAGGAAATGACATCATTACCATCAGTCGATTGTACTGCCAATGTCTCTACTTCAAAAGTTATTTTTAGCTAATCTGTCGCATTATAAGCACAAGACGCGACTAAATCTCTCAGGAACATGAGGCAACAGTCGGTTGAACGTTGAAATATCTACAGAAGTGGAGTTGAAATTTCCCGAGCTGTGGATATGGTTTGCATGATAAAATTTTAAAGATTGAACAGAATGTTAAAAATATAGATTTTGATCTATTGCTTTCTTAATTAAAAAAATAATCTGTGCAATATTTCAAAATAGTATGTCATACATACTTCGATAACTCTTTTTTTTCTTCAGATCGTGTAAATCTTTTTGCCTTTTACTAAAGATTTCCACGGAGAGGAACAACAAGGTGTTATTTTTGGGGGGGCAGTAGTGGCTTAGTGGTTAAGGAAGCGGACTTGGGTGCAGAAGGTTTAAGGTTCGAGTCCATTAGTGCTCTTAGCACGGCACTGTCCCCAATTCTTTCCGTACACAATTCTTTCACACAAACAGTGGTTGATCAAATATTGTCACAGTAAAAGACTCACTTTGTGTGAACGTGAAAGCTGTTCGTGGTTCCCGTGTGTTCGTAGTCGTGAATGGCTGCCGCGAAAAGTGACGCCATCACCTCGAGCTCCGTCAACCAGTGCTATGGAGATACAAAAAAAAACATACACGGTCCACAGTCTGTCTAATATATTTGATGAATGTGTGTGATATATTTAGTTTTTCTGATTGGCCATGAATGAGCAAAGAAAATGTACAGGGTGAGACGGAAAGTACCGTGTCGCACCGATAGGGGGCAATGACGCACGGTGAGGTTCGTGACTGACAGCGCTGAACCCTATAGGAACAGTGGGTAACAGATAACGTTTCAAATGAAACTAAATAGAAATAGTGTCGGAATAACTTGTTTAACATTGTTTAACTACATAGAGGGGCGTTCAGGTGCCGTTGGAAATTTGAGAATCTGATGATTAAGGCACTGAAACAGGGTGTGATGCTTACTCCTGGGCTTATTTTGAGCAAAGTATGTTACGGAAAGCATGTTAAGAGACTGATTCAACAGAGAAGGGCTATAATATGTAACCTATAACACATAGCAATTAAAAAAAAAAAAAAAAAAAAACCTTGTTATCCCCTTGACTTATAATTCTGCACACTTATATTCTGATTTTTAAATTAATTAGGGTCAAAATTGAAATACAGTTCATATATCTGTACATCGAGTGACTCACTAGGCATGAACCTCACCGCACGTCACTGCCCCCTATCAGTGGGTCACGGTACTTTCTGTCTCACCCTGTACATTTTCTTTGCTCATTCAATATATAACCCATATGCGTGTATATTTTCAAGCATATGACTATAACTGTATTACAAAAAAAAAATACTGATTTTCATATTTATATATTTAATATGTATTTTTTATAAGATTCTTACCAATGTAGCAAAACCAGATTATATATATAATTATATAAGTGTGTATATATAACTGAAATATAAAATATATAACTGCAAACAACTGCATGGCAACTACACGTTTTGCAGCCCTAGTCTAGATCTGACCCTTCCAGGCCACTTTTTTTTCCAGCCGTGTGCTGCAGCAGCGGAGATCCCATAATGAGAGTAGTACTAAGAAAGTACAGGCTGGAGGCCAGTACCACGAGTCCTGAGCGCAGCAGCAGGCAGTGCAGCGTCTGAGTCACATCAGCAGCATGGACGTGGTTGTGGTAGGGGTTGTTGTATTTGCGGTATCCTCTCTCAAGAGCAGACATGAACTCCGTCAGGCACGAGATGGGGATCTGCACAAGTAACAAGGCGGTGTTGAAACATTGTAGTTTGTCAATATGTTGGGGTGGATTTGTTAAAAAAAAAGAGCAACAAAACTATTTTTATTTGATCCAATATTCTCTACAAACCTTAGAACTAAATCGCTAGCAAAGGATATACAGTATATATAACCTCAAAGAAAAGAGAC